AAAAAAAAAAAGGGGGGGTGGTTATATTTCTGACATCTTTGACTTAGCCATAACAGGTATTTCCAAGCTAATTAATGGAAAAAGAGAATTAAAATATATACCATTTAATCAAGTTGAATCTGGGTCAGGATTGATTTTATTATTTTGATTCCCCCCATCTCCAATCTTGCTTTTCAATTTATGCTTTATTGTTAAAATAAAAAATCCAACGTGACTAGGAACTTAGCAATTCCACCTGGATGCAGTGTCTAATTGAAACCTGACAACATACTTTAAACTTAGCATCGTGTGAACCAGTCATTTCCAAATTATGCTCATGTAGAACATTAGGGTTTTCATGTTAGATTTAGGTATTTCATTATTAAAATTCAAAAATGTCTTTTTCTACCATTTTTAAAGAAAAAGTAAGCTACTGGATAGAATCTTCTTAATCTTAACCTTACTATAATATTTTTAATTAAATGATTGCCTTACCATAACTCCTTTAAATAAATATGTAGTAAATACAATGGAAGACTGGGAGAATAGCCTATTATGCTTAATTTAGCAGACCGTTTTTACCTGTTTTGGAAATAAGAGTTAGTGGTTATGCTATGTGTGTTCAAAGTGCATACTATTGTCATATGCTGAAAAAAATATTTGTATAATGAAATTAAATATATCATCACATCATAATAATCTAGCAATAGCTCTAAGTGCTCACCATATATGAACATATCTGAGAAACAATGGTATGGAAATTGATGATGATTCTCTTATTAAAAAAGCAATGCCAGGGCCGGCCAAGTGGCTCAGTTGGTTAAGAGCTCACTCAAGAGTGCGAGTTCTGAGCAACAGCGGTTCGAGTCCCAGCCTGAGCTGAGCTGCTGCTGAGCTGCCACCAGGTGGCGGGATGGCTCAGTTAAAAAAAAAAAAAAAAGCAATGCCACTGAGTGGTTAAAAAGACACATAAGGTTAAAATTCCATTCAGAAGTCTATTATAGAAGAGAGGAGAAAACGATGGGTGGATGGAATAAAGATTGAAATAGATCATCTTATCCTGACATTTAAAAAAAAATTTAAATTATCTTAGGATGTTGTTTTAGACCATATAATATTCTTGACTTACTACTCTGATTCATTTAATGAAACTACATAGCCCTGATAGGTTTTGCTTTGTAAATACAAAATCAAACTATTCAAAATTATTGATAAAATAAAACAAATGAAAACCAACCAACCCACCAACCAAACAAAAACCTAGCCTCTCTAGCCCCAGGAAAATCAGAATATATTTCTAGAAACTGTAAGAAGGGATGATTTGATAATTTAAAATAGTGAGGCAAAAGACAAAAGAGATGTGAGGACCCAGCAGACATGAGAGATCGAAGGATGAGAGAATTTCACACTCAGGAAAAATCAGAACACTTTAAAAGACTAAATTAACAGAAGAAATAATCAGCGTAGTTCTCTGACACAGCCCTCTGACATAGTCCTCTGATTCATCACCATGAAGCTGAAAGCAATAAACTTTTAAATAAACTCTAGTGTGAAATCATTATTTTATCAATGAATATTGTGATAGATTAAATCAAACCATTATTGATTTGGTTAAATCCTTAAGCCTTAAGGCTTAAACCTTCAGCTGGAGTTGGAAATAAAATGTTTATTTCTCAACTACTTCACAAGGACATTTTGAAGTAAACCACAGATAGGTTGCATTAGCAAAGGTGGAAATAACTCTTTATTTGGCTTCACTTAAGTAGCCAAAGCATTTATTTTCATGAATAAACTGTAGAGGTGATACCAGTAAGTATGCCCTAAGTTGAAGCCTACAGCAACTGAGATTGAGATTTCTCAATGTTTGAAAAATATTTTCACTATTTCCAGCCCAAGTAAAAGTGTATGAAACGGGTCTTATATAACTTCAGTCCAACACTGTAGCCACAGGACACATGTGGCTATTTAAATATTAATCTAAATTCATACAAATTAAATACTATTTTAAAGTAAAAAGTTCAGTTCCTCAGTCTCACTAGCCATATTTCAAGTGCTCAATAGCCATTCACAACATTTCCATATTTCTGTTGTATAACATCCAAGGTCACAAAACAGTCTGTGCTTTATTACTTTGCAATCCTTATCATGATACCAGATACACACATTTTGACTTTTTTTTTTTTTGCTAAATATATGAAGGATTAAGTGAATATATTTTTGCATTTCATTTTAAAAACAGGATTAGAGAGGATTAGTCTTGACCTCAGAAGTTTTTTTAGGGCATAAAGACAGTAATTGGACCACAGATAAAGATTTTAACACCGTGCATTCCATAAGCTCTATTTACATTATCACAGCTCTGGTATCTGTAGCTCTATTTAGGTAAACATGAAGATGAGCACTAGCACATGTATCAAAAATCTGAAGGAAATGCACTGGGGAATCTACAGATATTGAATGAGGCTCCCTACAAAAACAAACCAAATGGATTACTGCCTGTATTTTCATAGGTACTGTGGTCAAATGTCTGTGGGTTATTCTTGCGGTAGGTACAGTGACTGACTCATCCCAGTTTACCTGGGACTTTCCAGCTTTTAAAACTGAAAGTCCTACATCACAAACTCCTCAGTCCTGGGCAAACTGGAATGGTTAGTCACCCTAGTGGTAAAGGATGGTGCTTTATGTTTCTTATATTTTCCATCACGGCAGCCTATACAGTAGGAACTGAATAGTTTGTCTATGTTAACATTGTTACAATGGTTAACATAGACTTCTATACTGACAGTTATATAGTTGTTAATATAGAGGCAATATAACCTGGGCCAGTCTGCCTTCCTAGTTATTCCACTTTCATGAACCTCGTGCTCTAATTATAATGAATTTTCTTGGCTTTCCCAAATCATGCATTTTCACACCACTGTGCCTTTGCTCAGGCTATTTTCTGCCTGGAGTGCCTTTTCCACCCCTCTGAACATATTCTCAACGTATCCCACAACGTCCAATTCAAATAGCACATCTTGTCACGTCTATAGCCTTCCCTGACTCTCCCCTTTCTTCAGCTTCCCCAATCTCCAATAAAGTGACTTGCTTCCTCTGCTGTACTACCAACGTAAAAAAAAAAAATTCTTTGTAGCATTTGCTTCCTTGGGCTAATATGTGTCTATATGTTCACTTTATTTTCTAGACTACAAATGCAAAAGGCTCCATCTTCTTATTGACAGTGTGTAACCATTTCTGGTTCATAGGAATGCCTGTTAAAACTCGTTCTATAATGCTTTATAAATTTTAAATCTATTTTACATATATTATCTTGTTTGGCCCTCTCAACAATTCTGTGAGCTTGGCAAAGCTGACTGTCGTATGTTCACTTGGTTGATGAAAAAACAGACTTAGAGACAGTGACTTAACCAAGGTTAGGCAGATGTTTAGTGTTGGGCATGAATCCCAGGTCTTCTGACTGCCATTCTTTCTGCTAAATACCACTGAAGGTCAAAAGTCATCAACAGGATTACTCTGTGTGTTGCTAAAAGGATGATCATTAACATTTGAAAAATAGACTTTGTGTGAAAGCTCGCCTTGCCTTTGCCCATCCTTCGAAACCCACTGGTAAGCACCCCTCCCCTCCCCAATCTGATTCTATTTGGTAAGAAAATTGGGCTAAACCATTTGATCTTGTCATATTGCCAAAACTCCACAGGTCACTCAAGATTAACCTTTACTTAATGAAATTAGTTTTACTATTAAAAGGAGCTCTTTCATAACCACGACTGTCGGCATTTTCCGTTTCAACGTGCCTTTCAAAATTTCAGACCTCCTGTCTGATGGATTCTACTTTGTCTCTTTTATTTACTGGCTTCAAGTTGCCGGACAACTAGCACTGTCCAAAGGGGAACGCCGCCCCGTGTTAGGAATCTAGCAGGAGAAAACGGTTTTATTCCAGATCTATCATTTCGATTCCGGGCTTTACCTTTACTCATCCCACCAATTGAAGGGGCGTGATGCCACACCCACCTCACAGGATGCCGCGAGAAGTCGAGACCCAGAAAGTAAACGGCGACTTGCAAACCTTAATGGTAAGCCCATAAAAATGCTATCATATTTTCACACTTTTGTGCTTTGCTATATATGATTCACTTAGTTTTGAAAATAACGTGCGTCTGTCCCCAGTAAAGCGAAGTTCAAGTCGCTGCTACCCTCACTCCGCGGGCTCCGGGCCTCTCACGCGAGATACAGCCTTCCGGCTTTCCTCTGGGAAGTCCAGAGGCAGAAGGGGCGCGCCTGCAGTGACGCACTATCCTGGGCGACTGACGTCACCGCTAGGCGCCCGGCGGCAAGTCAGCCAGGCTTTCGGCGGGCTTTCTAGGGGATAACAATGTCTCTGGCCAGCGATTTCTACCTGCGCTACTATGTAGGGCACAAGGGCAAGTTTGGACACGAGTTTCTGGAGTTCGAGTTTCGGCCCGACGGTGAGTGGAGGAGCGGCGGCTGCCATCTAGCGCGGCGCTGGGCCTGGGGGAGCGGGGCCGAGAGGCCGCGGAGGGGGCGGGGTGGGGTGAGCGCGCCACCGTGGGCGAGC